AGGCGGGCTCGCACCCGGGCCTGGCCTGGTAGTGCGCGCCTGTCATTCCAGCGCTCGGGAGGCTGAGGCTGGGAGATCAAGGAACGAGTTCAGGGCCGCTTGGGCCGCGAGAAATACACTGGGTCTTAGAAATACACTCTGCGGGTGTGGTGATGCACGCTTTCAGTGCCAGTATTCGGGAGGCGGAGACCGGGGAGTTCGAGACCAGCCAGGGCTACTTAGTGAGACATGGACTCAATAATAAAGATGCAGCGCTAGTGCCGGAGCGCTGGGGGTGGAGTCGTGTTTCTGAATACGCACGAGGAAGCCAGGTCCTATAGGAGCCAATGCGTACTTTAGGATGCCCGGGTAGGAGAAGCTTGAAATTCAGACATAAAAGGCATAGGCCTTGGCGTGGGGGTGCAGTCCCGACATCCTAGGAGTTCGAGGTCAGCCTGGGCTCCCTAAGACCCTGTTTTAAAACAAACAAATAACTGGAGAGATGGGGAGAAGAGCACGGGCTGCTCTTTCGATTCCTAGCACCTACCTGGTCCCTCATAACTCTCTGTAAATCCAGTTCCTGAGGATCGAACACCCTCTTCTGGCCTAGCAGGCACCATGAATATTCATGAGCAGGTAGTCCTGGTGAAAGCACCTCTAATTGGATGTGAACAGGAAGATAAGGCTTGTCCTCCAGTCTGCTATTCTGTCCTGGGGCCAGAATTTGAGTGGTCTTTACCTTGGGCTACTGTCTCTCCTGCAGGCTGGGGCTGATGGCCGAGAAGGTGAGGGCTGTGGTACTGTGGGATTGCTGCTGGAACATTCATTTGAGATTGGTGAGTTCAATGTGTTTTCAACCAAAGCCATATCCCGTGGGACCTAATACCTTGTTGGGGAGAAGGTGGAAACAACAGATAGGTAAAGAGAAGCTATTTTTAGATACCCCATACCTGGCTTCAAGGATTCAAAGATTGAGTGCTTGCCTGGCAAGTCCAAGGGCCTGCGTTGCATCTCTGTTAATGGAAATTACACACACACACACACACACAGACACTCCAAGGGCCTGCGTTGCATCTCTGTTAATGGAAATTACACACACACACAGACACCACACACACACACACACGCATAGATACATATGCATACACATATGTATACATGTGTATGTGTACATGTGTATATAATAAATGTACCTGTGTGATGGCTAAAGAAACTCCATTTTATGCCAGGCATCCATTTTGATACCCGCTAGCTGTTTGTCTCTGACTCTAGCATCTGGAAGATAAGTTCCCAAGTTACCCTGACTCAGTGACCATCACCCAGAAATGTACAGCTGTGATCATCTACTTGTTGTTTTTTGGCTTCTGTAACTTGCTTACACAGATACTCAAAGGTTCTTTTGACTTGCCTTAACCCCTTGGTAGAACAGTCCAGTTTTTGCTTGCTTAGGTAGATATTGAAGGTCTTCTTGTGGTTTCACCTTAAAAAAGAAAAATCCTTCTCCATATCCTTCCTTCGATACATGCCAGAGATTCAGCTTTAAGGCTGCTGTTCTGCCAGCAACTAATCAATAAGCCTTTTAATTAAAGTTGGATTGAGTCCATGGTCTTTTCCCAGGGCTCAGAAACTCCATAACACATGCATGTTCTTTTTTTTTTTTTCTTTCACAGTTCCAGTAACAGCGCATCACAGTAGGGAAGTCAAATCGGGAACTTCAAACAGCTGGTCATATCATATTCACAGCCTAGAGCAGAGAGAATTAATGTGTGCATGCTCACTTGTGCTCAGCCTCCTCTCTACACTCCAAACCTATAGTGGGCGGGCCTTCCTACCTTAATCATGTAATCAGACATTTGCCCATAGATACTCCCAACCCAGCCTGACCTACAGTCCCTCACCGAGACTCTTCCCTCGTGATTCTGGACTGTATCAAGTTACAATTAAAACTATCCATCAGGGCCCCTGACTACTCATACACATGTGGCCAGCTGTCAAATCTTGACAGGGTTTCCCTCCATAAAATGTACTATTGCTTTGCTCCAACAAAGTTTATATATGTATATATAAGTAACATTTACATACATACTCATATATATACATATATGCATATTTACATACCAGTATATATATACAACTCTGTGTATATATTATGTGTGTGTATATAATATATATATATATATATATGTATGTGTTATGTATATGTGTATGTATATTATTTCCTTCTTGCCAGTGACCTGTAGGAACAACCCCAGACCCAGTCATCTGAAGAAGGAATATCAGAGCAGACTTCTCTAACCTTTGACCTGTGTCCTGCCTTCACTCCCTCAGATGGCCCTGGTCAGTCATGTGAGGCAGTGGGTGTGCACATTTGCTCATTTTGCAGCAGAGGAAACAGGTCTGTGGTAGCACCACAGGGGCCGCTCTTTTAGAGAAGGCAGAGGCCGGTCGCCTCAGCGTCTGCCTGACTAAAGGGTCTAGGACCAGTCAGCTCAGAGCTTGCTGTTTGCTTTGTCCACAGCCCCTTAATGGAGGCAGGCACTGTGACAGTCAGGCCCTGGCTGGCCCCAGAGAGTTCTTACCACCCTCCCAGAGTCGTCTCATAAGGCAGTGCAGGCCATGGGAGCCTCAAGGCTGGGCTGCCCTGTGAGCACTGCAGTGCCAGCAGCGAACAAGTGGGTAAGAAGCCACCCATCACTGAGATGGGGCAGGTCACACTTGAGGGGATTGTTACTGAGCCCAGTTCCCCACAGGTGACAGAGCCAACTTCCAGAAGCGTGGCTCATTGCTCTGGAACCAGCAGGATGGAACCTTGTCTGCAACACAACGGCAGCTCAGTGAGGAGGAGCGGGGCCGGCTCCGGGTAAGGTTGGGCCCCAGGCCTGGCCCCCTGCAGCTGAATGGGCTGGGCACTTTCTTATCTTCCCAATGAGCCCAGAACAAGAGGTTCCTTTCAAGTGTCAGCTTGTCTGAGCTGGGCTCTGCCTGAAAACTGGCATGTTAGCGGTTTTATCTTGCCCAGTGTGAGGGAGGCAGGGGAACTTGCTTTGCTGCAGTGACCATGTGCCTAGGTGCCTTCTTTGTGCAGGAAGGCATCGAGAGGCCTGCTGCTTGCCTCTCTGCCTAGTCTCCATGTGAATCTCTGCCTAGTTGCCCCCACAGGCAACCATTTGTGGTACCTGGGTGTAGGTGTGTGGGAGGTGGGGAGGTGTGGCTGGATCCAGGCTTAGTAGTGCTTGGTTGCACTTTGTCACTGATGTGGCAATGATGTCTTGGGTGGCTTCTCCACCAGTGGGAGGGCAGGCCAGCTGTTTTAGCCTCACTTGGTAGCCAGGGAGAAGAGTGCTGAGCAGACTCTTGTCAGCCCAGGGGTTGTAGAAGATGCCATGAGGACAAGGCTGGGGAAGCATTCTCTTGACCAGCCTAGCGGGCTGGCGCTGCCCAGTTCATGGGCCTCTGCATACCCTGTAGGATGTGGCTGCTGTCAATGGCCTTTACAGAGTCCGGGTTCCAAGGCGGCCTGGGGTACTTGATGGTTCAGAAGCTGGTGGCTACGTGTCTTCCTTTGTCCCAGCGGTAAGTCACTGGTGAGGACTGCCAGCATTCTCATTCCTGTCTGCCTCAGTGTCCATCCCCTTCCTGGAACCCCTCACTGTGGGGCACTGAGGCACTGACTGCTCAGCTTGAACTCTCCATGGGACCTGGGGATGGGGTGGGGGCTCTGGAGGATGCTTGTGCAGAGCTAAGTGGCTCTCCCTGACCACTCCCACCCACCCCATCTCCCATAGTGCTCCCTGGTGGAGTCCCACCTCTCAGACCAACTGACCTTGCATGTGGATGTGGCTGGCAACGTGGTGGGACTGTCAGTGGTCGCGTACCCCGGGGGCTGCCGGGGCTCTGAGGTGGAAGACGAGGACCTGGAGCTCTTCAATACATCTGTGCAGCTGCGGCCTCCAGGCACCGCCCCAGGGTGAGTGCTGGAGGGAGTCCAGGACTACTGGCTGCCTCAGCCACCCAGGTACTAGGGCTCTAACCCTCACCTTGCCCCTTCCTTCCCATGTTTAGCCCTGAGACTGCAGCCTTCATTGAGCGCCTAGAGATGGAGCAGGCCCAGAAGGCCAAGAACCCTCAGGAGCAGAAGTCCTTCTTTGCTAAATATGTGAGTATGGCTCCTTGTACCCTTGCCAGCCCTCCCCGCCCCAGCGGATGGCCTGTGTGTTCCTCTGGTGGAAGGCTGAGGGCTGTGGGACTCCGTCTAGTTGCCCAGGGCTGAGCGGCTCTAGAAGCCCAACCGCCTGAGTTGGGCTGGGCATCTGCGTGCACAGGCATCCCAGGCCTGTTGGGAGTAGAGCGGTGTGGAAGGTAGCTGGGTGTGGACAGGCGAGCTGTGGGCATGTGTGGAGGGAAGGGCAGCCCAGTGTTCAGAGAAGTGAGTGAGCTTGGATAGGTGGAAGCCACGGGAGGCCCAGGCGGCAGGTAGTTCTGGAGCAGGTGTAAGAGGCCCAGGTGGAGGTGCAGAGGAGCCCAGGAGAGCAGCTGCTGGCCTGAGGAGTCTGTAATGCCCAGGCTCTTGAGTGGGGCTGGAGTGTGAAGGGGCAGACCCTCGTGAGGAGGCTGGCTGTACGTAGTCCTCCATCCCTTGAGGCTGGAGACTTGTGCCGGGCCCAACAAGGTAAGGACCCAGAAGGACCAGCATGGCTCAAGGGTGAAGTGGGAGGGTGCTGAGGCCAGTGGCCCTGAGCCAGGCACCTTCCCCTAGGGGTTGCAGAAGCCCCCATGTGAGGAACCGAGGCCTGGCAAACCTCAGCCCTTGCTGACCTGCCTCCCTCCCTCCCTCAGTGGCACCTCATCCTAGGGGGGGCCGTGTTGCTCACAGCCCTGCGTCCTGCTGCCCCAGGGCCTGCGCCAGCGCCAACGGAGGCCTAAGTGAGGACCCAGATCCCTGCCCACCTTGCCCTCTGCCCACACCCTCCTGCCCCGGCCCCGGCCCTGCCTGTAGTGACTAGGGGACCCAGCCCCTCCCTCCCATGGCCCCCATCCTGGACCAGCCTCACCACTTACATCCCTTCCTCTCTGTCTGTCTCTTTGTCTACCTGTCCTGCCTGCAGTGGATGTACATCATTCCAGTTGTGCTGTTCCTCATGATGTCAGGAGCTCCAGACGCCGGGGGCCAGGGCGGTGGTGGGGGTGGGGGCAGCGGCCGGTGAGCAGCTGTGCCACCTAGAGTCCTCCAGAGCTTGCTGTCCTTGGGCAGCCCAAGAAGGAGTTCCTGTTCCTCCATCTCCCTATTGCATGAACATAGAAGGCTGTCCCTTCCCAGGAGCCTGCTGGCCTTCTCTCCCTGAGCCTCTCTGCTTCTGTTGACTGAGAGCTAGGGTACATCTCCCTGTAGCCACCTCAGACCCACTGGCTTCCCTGGGCACTGTGCAACTGTGCTCTGCCATGTGGCACTGTGTCCCTTTGCTACAGAACCACTAACTCCACCCCACCCCACTCCATCATGCAGTTTGGGAACATGCCAAGCTCTCTCCAGCCTCTGTGCCTTTGTCCTCCATGCCCCCCTCACTATCACACTTAGTCTCCTTGCCAAGGATATGTGGCAAGGAGGCCTCTGCTGCTGGTGGCTGGATCAGCCTGCCCAGCGTGTGGAAGCGTCCAGCCCACTTTCCGTGTGGTATGCTGTGCTCTTTGACCCCGCCCCCCCTTCCTGGTGCCCCAGGACACCATGGTGACTTCCACCCCCATCTTTTCTGTCTCCAGATGTCCCACTCTGGGTACGGTACCAGGAGAGAATTGTGGGTCTGGCCGTTAGTCTGTCTTTTGTGAATGTACACTCTAGCAATTTGTGTGCATGTTTTGAGCCAGGTTTGAGCTAGCTGCTCGACAGCTGTTGTGCACTTACTTGCACATCTATAGCCATGGCCACGGAGATTGCTGCATAGCCTCAGCTGTGTTGTGTGGCTGTTGATTAAACTGTTCCCTAAGCAGCCACCATTCAGCCTGCTTCCTGCCTTCTGTGGTTGTAAATAGTCCCGGATGGCTGCTGTCATTGGCTTGATTTATGTTTGAGTGGCTTCCTTAGGACATGTTACAGAGGGAGACCTGAGCAGGGATACCTGAACTGCAGGAGGAGGCTGGTTCCTGACCCTCCTGGCACATTTCATCATTCTCTTCCCAGCACATCTACACTTGGTGGCACAGCAGCCACACGGGTTCATATTGTCTCCCTCATCTCACACTGGGTGGCCAGGGTGTAACCTGGAATCATGTGATGGTGCATTTGGTATCAGTTGGAATCCCAGCATTCAGTAGGCTAAGGCTGCTTTAGCTACATAGTGACATTAGGGCTAGCCTGGGCTACATAGCAAGACCCTGTCTTAAAGAATCAATGGGGCTCAGTTGGTAGCTTGCTTCCCATGCATGAAGCTGTGGGTTCCATTCCCAGCAGTGTATGAGCCAGCTCTGCACAGTGGCACATACTCAGGATCAGCACTCAGAGAGGAGCCAAGAGAATCAGAAGTTCAAGGTGTTGCTTAGCCATTTAGCAGGTTTGAGGCCAGCCTGGGCTACTTGAAACTGTCCTCACAAAACAATAAAACCGGAATCCAAGGCCACTCTCTGCACTTTCAACCTGCCCTGTGAGGGCCCGTTTCCTCAGTCCAGTGGCTGCAGGTGTGACCTGGAGTGTGAGTCACCTTTGGGCTGTGGTGAAAACACCACATGACAGGAGCAGCTGTAGGGAGGAAAGACTGTATGGCTTCAGAGGGTTTGGGCTCTTTCTTAAGGGGTTGGCTGGGCAGGGCAGGGCTGCTTAGTTCATGCAAGTCAGGTTGTGATGAAGGCTGCTCATCATATAGACAGGAAGCTGAGAGAGTAGTCTGGGTCAGACAGCACCTGTAAAGGCATACCCCTCAAGATCTCACTCCTGCTGGGTCCCATCTACAGTAAAGGTTCCATAACCTCCCAGAACATTGCTACCTGGGATGTGAGCCTGTGAGGGATGCTTCACCTTATGCCATGACAGTGTTCCAGTTATCAAAGCCTCCTCCCCAACAGGCCATCCTCAGGTGTGGGTTTGGGAAAGGGCACAGTGTTCCCTGTCTTGGTTTAGTTGCTAGGAACCTCAGGCCTGCCATCTCAACATCTGCTTACAGTGGTGTGTACCCTTGTGGTGCCCCCTTCCTCAGCCTCCATGCCCTCATCTTCTTTTACCTGGATGGTGTGGCTACTCAGACCCCTACACACCATAGTGTGACAGATGGCCTTGGTCCCAGGGGGTTGGCCATTTTCATCCCGTTGGTGTTCATGGAAGTTGACTGTTGTGCATGGAACAGTGGCCTAGCATCTTGCCAGCTTCCATGGTGACCAGGAGGATGACAGCAGCAGAGGCTGTCAGAATATATAAAGAACTAAAAATTAAACCGGGAGGTGGTGGCGCCCGCCTTTAATCCCAGCACTCGGGAGGCAGAGGCAGGGGGATCGCTGAGGTCATCACCAGCCTGGTCTACAAGAGCTAGTTCCAGGACAGCCTCCAAAGCCACAGAGAAACCCTGTCTCAAAAACAAACAAACAAACAAAAAAAAACTAAAAATTAAATAAGTAACCCAAAAACCTAAGGGCAAACAAACAAACAAACAAACGTTCCAGGACAGCCTCTAAAGCCACAGAGAAACCCTGTCTCAAAAACAAACAAACAAAAAAAAAAACCCAAAAATTAAATAAGTAACCCAAAAACCTAAGGGCAAAAAAACAAAAACAAAAAAAAAAAAACCAAAAAACAAAACTAAGGGCAAATGAGCTAATGAATAGACTACCCTGAAGGATGAAGAATGTTCACGGTTTGTCAGGGAAGTGAAGGCTGGGGTGTGGCTTGGGTAGAGTGCTTGCGCATTACCTGAGAGGCCCTGGTTCAAACAGCAAAAGCCTATGTTGAGATTCTGCCTCACCGCAGCCAGTTAAAACAGGTGCTGGCAAGGGTGTATATGACATCGAACACACACCGCTTGTGGGAATGCAAACCACTCCAGCCTCTGTGGAAACGAGTACAGAAGGTTCTCAGGAAATTGGTGTTAGGTCTTCCACTCCATATAGATCTGACCCAGCTCTGCCTTGGGGTAATTTACCTGGAGTCCTGGAAATCAGTGTTCCACAGAAGAGCTTCCACATAGTGGCTGCAGAGCGTGGAACTACCCTTGGTGTCCAGTGACAGCAAAGTGGGTGAGGAAAGTATAAATATACACAATGGAGTTATTTTCAAAGGATGAAGCCATGTTTACAGGAAAATGGGTGCAGCTAAGCCTGGCTGAGAAACATGAAACATATAGCCTCTCATTTGTGGCTCCTAGTTTATAATGATGATCAAAAGTGAAACTAGAAGGACAAAGAATAACAGGAGAGGAAGGGGAGGCAGGGTGGGTACACATGGGGGATACGCTCTCATACGGTGTCCACATGTTTGGGACTGGTGGGATGGCTCAGCAGGCAAAGGTGCCACTGAGTGTGATGGCTTAAGTTCAATCCTGAGATCCATATGGTGGAAGCAGGTAAATGACTCCTCAAGGTGTCCTCTGACATCCCACGCAGTCATAGCAAGTTACGGTGAGAGTGAGAGTGAGCGTGTGTGTGAGTGTGTGGGAG